ACAATATTCGAAATATCATATTCACCTATCTTGATTAATATCATTCTATCCATATGATGCGGAAGATATCGTATACATATTGTTTCCAACAATTATAACCAATATAGCAATTTCAACATTCTCCCCATGTCGATTCTGAAGGGGTTTTCAATGATTCAAATATGAATATCAATAACGGCAATTCAATATGTATCTTATATCGGACATAGAAGAGAAAAACAATATTGTATTCTCAAGATCAATTGCATATCGGGTGAATAGTTTTCTAGCCATATTCAGAAAATAATATCATCTTATATTGGCTGATATGTGATTCACTATATCATGTAAGCAATATTGTTCACATATTGTTTTGAGAATACATATCGATATCGGAATTTCGATATTTATTCCATATTACGCACTCCTAAACCGATGTCGATAGATGGCACTATAAATGATTGGTAACGTACTCTCATTGCCGATCCGACGAGAGAATTTAAATATTGGCTCTAGACGATCGTGAAGTATTATAACCTGGAGTAGGGGTTAACCGTGATCAACAAGGCGGCTTCCCTAGGGCAAGGCCCTCCCATAGCACTCCGGCTGGGCTGACCTTTGTGATTATTCCAGATGCGAATAACTCGCAAATATTGGTATGAAAATATTCCACCAATATTTTGAAGACAACATAGCTACATAATGATTTTCAATAATGTACCAATATTCCCAACCAATATTGCACCAATATAACTTCACGAATATACCAGCAATATTGGTGTGAGAATATTCAACCAATATTTCTGAGACAACATACCTTCATGATGGTTTTCAATGATTCACCGATATTTCCATATATTACACCAATATTGCCGGATGTTCACCATTAATTTCTCGCCAATATTGATATTACATTTTGTGTCCGATATTACTCTACGAATATTCAACCAATATTAATATGAGAATATTCTACCCACATTTGGAAACTGATATTGTACCAATATCGCCGAATGTTCACATTTTTTTTCTCGCCAATATTACTTTCACAATATTTTGCCGATATTTTCGTAATATTGCACCGATATTGTCCCAATATATGTGTGCTACTTGGGTTAGCTCTGGACGATTGTTAAGTATTATAACCTGGAGTAGGGGTTAACTGTGATCAACAAGGAGGCTTCCCCAATGCAAGGCCCTTCCATTGCACTCCGGCTGGGCTGACCTTTGTGAATATTCCTGATGCGAATAACTCGCAAATATTGGTATGAAAATATTCCACCAATATTTTGAAGACAACATAGCTACATAATGATTTTCAATAATGTACCAATATTTCCAACCAATATTGCACCAGTATTGTCAAATGTTCACTGTCCATTTATCAGCAATATTGATATCACATTTTGTGACCAATATAACTTCACGAATATTCCAGCAATATTGGTATGAGAATCTACCAATATTTCTGAGACAACATACCTTTATGATGATTTTCGATGATTCACCGATATTTCCATATATTACACCAATATTGCCGAATGTTCACCATTCATTTCTCGCCAATATCGATATTACGTTTTGTGTCCGATATAACTCTACGAATATTCAACCAATATTAATATACGAATATTCTACCCACATTTGGAAACTGATATTGTACCAATATCGCCGAATGTTCACATTTTTTTTCTCGCCAATATTAATTTCACAATATTTTGCCGATATTTTCGTAATATTGCACCGATATTGTCCCAATATATGTGTGCTACTTGGGGTATAAACGAATACTGATACATGTGATTCTTTCCTCAATGCCCATTGATTTCGATTTATCCAGGCCACGCTAGACACCTCCAGACTGGTTTCGAGCACTTTGACTCTCATCAGTGCAGAAAATTATCCAGCCAGTAGTCCTAAGACCGTCGACTAAGCGTTGCATAACCAAAAAATAAACAAGTCGGCATTATATTCCCTCAGAGGCGTTCTCTATAGGCAATATGAAAACAACGTCATCTGAGTAGAAATCAAGGAAAAAACACTCCAAAGCTTAAATTCCCATACGGGAGTGTCCGGTTGGTCGTCTGGCGTGATTTCAACTAGGAAATAGCCACAATGCCCAAAGTGGAATGAAATATGTTGAATAAATACAAAAAGCTCAAAGTAATTTCCACACAATGTTCATGAAATGAACAACAGTGGTAGATTTCGGGAATAAAAACAACTACTTTCCTGGCTAATGCCACGCAGAACATTTTATGAATATTGTGGGAAAATTTTGGTTGCAGAAAAAATAGCATGTTTCAATCGGATCAAAAGTGACTTTGTTTGACTAGGAAATTTTGCTTTCGCTTGGCCTCGCTAGACGTTCCGCCTCGAAAATGCGAAATCTGCTTGTCAAACGGAGTGCCACTTTTGATCCTAATGAAACAATCTACTATTTGTGCACACTAGTCGAGTTAACTCCGTGAATGCAGCAGTTACAGGGTTCCTGCAATACCTTGCGTCATGAGGTTAGTACTTCAAAATCACGATTATATGCATACAATGGCAGGGTTTGTACATGAAATGTATGGAGCACCATCTAAAATATAAGTTTCAGTTGGAATTTGAATTTCTTGAAGAATGTCACATAAGGTGTGGAATATGTTATTAATTCTCTCTGGAACATTCTCGAACATCGACATTTCTCCAGATGCTGAACAGTTTCGAAAGTAGTCTGCTGAGGGCATCTACATTTTCAATTTCCACATTGTTTTTTTCCCATCATAGTGTGGTAGAAGTGGTTGGCTCATCAAAATGGCTTCCATTCATTCAACAGCAGACTGTTGCTCAGGAGAAAGACAACAATTCTGCGCATTTATTTTCTGAAAATTCCACTCTGGATTCATAGGAAAAACAACCCCCAGACATAACGCCCATTGACAGTCATATGCCCGAGATAACCTTTCGCCAACATACTATAAGGAAGATTTTATTGGGTCTCAACACCAACAAAGCCTGTGGCTCCGACGAAATCCCACCGATTGTTCTCAAGAAATGTGCACTACTAACACCTGTTCTTTACAAGATGTTCAACTACTCTTACAAATTGGGGATATTGCCGTCGAACTGGAAAATTGCAAGAGTACAACTAGTTCCTGAAGAAGGAAAAAAGACCCTACCTAGCAACTACAGACCAATCACACTGCTATCTATTATTTCAAAGATCATGAATGCAGCTATCAACATCGAGCTCATGAAATACCTGAAACTTTTAACTATCATCAACGATAGGCAATATGGCTTCCGTCATCAGAGGTTAACTGGTGCCCTGCTCGCTTAGGTCTCATATTTATGGCAGCAATCAATTGAAAAAAAAATATGGTGAGACCTCAGCTGTGGCACTTGATACCACCAAGACATTCGATCGAGTCTGGCACCAAGGACTCCTCGACAAGCTTCCATCTTATGGCTTGCCTCCCCAGCAATGTTCCCTACTAGGTATTTTTTTCTCAAACATCTCTCCATGTTGTGGTCGACAGAGTTTCATCTGACTCTCTTATCATAAATGCTGGTGTTCCGCAAGGATAAATTCTAGCACCAACACTATTTCTACCCCATAACAATGATTCGTTGGAAGCAACTCCATGTTTAGTTCACAGCTTCGCGGATGATAGCACCTACCATATCGCAATCTCTTCCAGGCCTTCAATACCAGCCAGGAAAATCGGAAAGGAACGAGGGAGAAATGTTGACAACATGAATATGGACTTGGCAACAATTCCCGAATGAGCATCCAATAATTTGGTAAATTTCAATGCAAACAAAACACAAGCATGCCTTTTCTCTAGGAAAGCTGATCACACTGTATCCAACATGAGCTTGTTAGTAGTAACCATAACTTTGAAGATATCCATTTCGATGCTTGGTATTACTATCAGCCATAACCTTTCTTGTAAAAATCACGTGAGATCAATTGCTAAAAGTGCATCCCAAAAACTTGGTTTTCTGTTTCGGGTTAGGAGGATTTCACTTCCAGTCAGCTGCTTATGATCTATAAGGCACACCGTAAACAAGTTGGCCATCTGGTTCTATTTCATGGATATTTTCATGGACGATGCCCTTATAATATATGAACAATTGTTTCTTCCTTGGCAGTCCCCGCGAGATTATTCCGTAGAGTTTCGCACCTCTTCGTGGTCACTTTGAAGACCTGCAGAACATCTCTTTCCAAAGACTCGTTCATCCAATGAACAGCGAGGCTCTGGAACACATTACCAAGTGAGGTGTTCCACGAGGCATATTACGTCCAGAAATTCAAGAAAAACACCAATTCCTACCTTGTTTTTCTTGGTTCTCACGATGTTCTCTGAACATTACAGAATATCCCTTTGTGTGGGAACCAGGACATAAAAAAATATAGGGTTTCCAAAACAACCTGTTCATAATTTTCCAAAGTAATCAGAACAAAGAACTTGCAGCTAAAGTGATCATTATTTTTATTGGAGGAGCATCAGATAAACGAATCTATACAATAATTAGTCTACCATTTCAGGACACTACACAAGCCTTCATTCATAATATGAAAAAATTTCACAATTTGCGCACCCGTTGCAAATGCCATCTTTGCCACGCCCTCGGTTCGGCTCTGTTTCTGTTATTCAATAAAATGTAAAAGTATATTTCAGTGAACAGTGATTTTATTATGTGATTTCAGGACGTAAGTATTTGTATATAAACGCTGTACAATAAAGGAGTGAATTGTCAAGGAGACGCAATATATGATGAACATCATGATTTCGAGAATTCTTATTCGTATGTTTCTATTCACACAAATTCAATATGTACTGATGAAAAAGATGGAAATATATCTTCACAGTTCTTTGTTCCTTCGTTTTGATGAATAATCAAATAGAGAAAATAACACGATGCGAATGAGTTTCAGCTTCACACTTTTGCATAATATAGATTTCATGTGTAATAATCTGAACATCATGATTGGTGGAGATAAGGTCACTGGAATTTCATGTTCGTTGTTGACCTCACGCATAGGCCTCTCGACGGAGTTGGTTCTTAATAGAGCTGGAAAGGCACAAAGCGAATATGGCACCAACAATCTGGAACAGAAGAGATATTTTTCGTCACGGGTATGACTGAAACATGAAATTCATTATGAATTTTGTTCATTGCCACCTCAATTATTCAAAACCAACTCAACAGAAATCGAATCATGTGCGTGCTTGAGAATAGCAGGAACTAACTGAATCACTTCTTCTGAATTTCTCGTGAGAAAATGTCAAATATTTTTCTTGGATCAAGATAATCAAGTTTGACATTGTTAGAAATCATACTGAAGTGAGACGTAGGGTTGTAGCACAATGTGGCACTACTATAACCGTTAATCCATCACATTGTCTTCCCAAGATCCCATAAGAGCATGGACATTATTGAGTATTTGTATAGGTGATGAAATCAAGATATACAGAGTATCCGAGAAACCATGGAACAAAATCTAGCCTATGAAAAACCACAACTCGACCTTAGTTTAAACCTCACAGTTAGTGGTGCCCGCGAGAGTCTCGTTTTCGAGAGTCAGGCATGGTCTCGTCTCTTTTTCGAGACAAGACTCGAGACGAGACTCGGACAAGACGAGACGAGACTTTTATTGGTCTCGTCTCGAGTCTCGTTCAACACTTCTCGTGTCTCGTGCGAGAGTCTCGCAGGTGAATATTTCTGCGTGCCGCTTGCATACTTGAGAATTTCACTCATAATACAACATCTTCAGAGACAATTTAGACTAGTTAGCACAGATATACAAAATATTTATGACAAGACGAGACTCGAAGCTGCGAGACGAGACTCGAGACAAGACTTCATATTTCATTGGTCTCGTGTAAATCACTACACAGTCCTCGTGATAATATTGGAACATTCATACGGAAAAATTGTATTCTCATTCTCATGATCCAAGCAGAGGACGAAAGTTTGAATTCGATACTCATTTTAATTAATTATAACTGAATTGTTGTTGTAGATCAATCGCAGAAGGCAGATTCTTGATAGCAGTCATTCACGGTCTACAAAAAATAGCCTCCGACTCGAATCCTTGGAAATTTTCCATTATTAAACTTTGTTCAGAATTTGTTTGTATATCGTGAACGACTGCTATCGAAAATCAGTCTTCTGCGATTCTTCAAACGACGATTCGTCAATATTTATCGGAAGATATGAATTTGAACTGTTATGAATCGCTCCTCATGACCGTGAGGTGAGGTGGGGAGAGACGAGAACTCCGCAACCCACCCCGCAGCCCCATGTTATGTGGTATCGTAGCCCTCCATTTTCCATTCAATAAGAGGATGTTGATTGGAAACTGCAGGAAATGGGTAGAGAAAAATAGTTGTGATAATAAGAGAGTGCATTGATCAGTCTTTTTATTCATCTTCCTCCAGAAACAGGATGAAAAACGAAATCATTGATCGATTGATTTATTGGCACGGCAGGTAGCAAGTCCTAAGTTCGAAAATATTCGTAGTTCAACAACTATGTTTCCCTCAGTTTCTTCATGCTTTTGAAGTGATCATTCGATATAAGATTATTCGATATTTCAATGATGTTTGTCTATGGAATCCTCAACAAAGCCCTCTGATGAACGTACCGAAAACGTTCTAACTTTCAACATTGGTTGTCCCCAGAACGTCCTCGAGACGTCTATCGACCGACAATGGACGTCTTTGGGACGTTCTGATTATCTCAGATTGAAGTCCTGCAGAAGTTTTCGGGACGTTTCTGTGTTATCTGAGCAGGTAGGTTTTCTTTGTATAACTATATGTTTCAGGTCGTTTCAGAATGCTTATAAAAGTTCCAGAAGGTAAGTGAACATTTTTGAATATTCCTGTAAACTCGTGAATACTTCAAGCTGAACTAAAATGTTCTCGAAATATATGATCATTAGATTTCGCCTGTATTCCAAGGATCATTTTCCTCATTCCACATTCCATTGGAACACTCTGACAAGGACCTAGCGAATGGAGGGTAGGTACAATGTTCGGCCAGTATGATGGGGACTATCCATAGAAAGAGTACGAATGTGTGCTTATAAGGACATGCATTCTCACCTCGATAGAGGCGACAGCGACTGCTAGTATTCCCAGAAGATCCAGACCATTTTTGAACCATACATATGAACTCTCTGCACATCCTTTCCTGAAGCAGTCAGTAGACTTTATTCCACAATTGTTGGTCTGGCTAGCACAGCAGGAAATCGGAACACTTTCATTCTGCCATTTCCAATCTCTTGGTCCATCGACACCACAACATTTGAGCTAAAACAAGAGGATTATGGAATATCAATATAGCTTCATCGTACACTATTGACACAGGTTTAGAAAAAATAAGAATGAAATGATTTGTTATCACGGAATCATGATGGTTGACGATAGTATTGAGAATTGCAATTTCGCAGCATTGTTTTTACGACGAATAGTCCTCTGATTCATATCATACACTCACCGGCAAGAATACAGTCCAGAAAAGAATGTGAATTGATCAACCTGTGATTTTTCAAATTCTTGTTCGAATTTGGTGGAATTTCGACCAATTCCTAGATTCATGTCAATGAGTATCAGCCTGAATATCCATTCTCAAGGAGAGCTTTATTTTGACTTCATAATTATACAAGGAATAGTAAAAGCTATTTATCCAACATTGACTTCTTAACGTCTCGTGGTTATACTTATTAGCTTCATCATGTTCAGGATAGGTATGATTCCTTCTCGATACTATATTATTTGTTCCTCTTTAGGTAGAATACGAATCAAGTGTTTAGGGAAAGTATGGGTTTTCTTAATTTTTTCACACACTTCTATTAGTTTCACCTGTATGTATGTATGCGTATATGTATGTAACCGACTCCTTTGTACTCAATTTTGACCCACTTCAAACCGACCAATTGATTTGAAATTTAGCAGGTGTACATAGTTTGGGTGGCAATGCTTCACGAAATTGTGCACACAATGTGGCGTACGAATTTTGTAATTATGATCCGACTCTATTCAATATTTGTATCTGCGGGTTCTCGGAATCAGAGATCCTGATTATTTCGTCGAAATTTGAGAATTCAAGATGGTGGAGTCGATATAGCGGACGAGTTTTATAATTATTATGATCCGCTTCTATTCAAATTTGGTATCTGGATCAAAAGGGTTTTTGAGGTCGTTTTTGTAATTATATAATACGATTTCATTCAAAATTGATATCTAGGGGTTTCTTTGGATTCAATATGGCAGACGAGATTCGTAATCATGATCCGATTCCATCTATAATAAGTATCTGGGGGTTGTCGGGGTAAAATAATACATTAGAAAACACGATTTAGTAGTTGAGGGAACTAAAAAATTTGAAAACAAATAGTAGTTCATAAAACTTAAGAAATACCTTTTCATAGATAGTCCAACTGAAAAGAGATAGAAAATAAAATAATGAAAGTGTGTTGATATATACAAAACATAAAAAATATTAGCATCTCCGTAATCAGTACATTCTAGAAAATATTTGCATGTAAAATTGATATCCTGTAATGTTCAAAGAACATCGTGAGAACCAAGGGAAATGAGGTAGGAATTGGTGTTCTTCTGGAATTCCTGGAGGTAATATGCCTCGGGAAACACCTCCCTTGGCAATGTGTTCCAGAGTCTCCCTGTTCGTTAAATAAATGAGTATTTGGAGATAGATGTTCTGCAGGTCTCCAAAGGGACCACGAAGGGTTGCGAAGCCTCAACTCGACGTATTAATCTCGCGGGGACTGCCAAGGGAAGTACAATTGTCGATATTCCAGAAGAGCAACGTCCAAGAAAAAATCAATGAAATAGAGCCAGATCGCCAACTTTTCCACGGTGTTCCAGAGAAGTGAGTGAGTTTGTGATCTTGTGAGCGAGGCATCATCCACAAGACGAATTAACCTTTTTTAGACAGAATCCAACAGTGTCAGGGTATGTTTGGGTGCTGCACTCCAAATATAGGAACAGTATTCCAGAACAGGTCGAATCTATGCCTTATAGATCATAAGCAGCTGACTGGAAGTGGAATCCTCCTGGCCCAAAACAGAAAAGTTTTTTTGCACTTTCAGCAATTCATCTCACGTGATGTTTCCAAGGAAGGTTATTGCTGCTAGTGATACCACCATCGGAATGGATGTCTTCAAAGGTATGGTTACTCCTGACATGCTTATGTTTGGCACAGTGAGATCGGCTTTTCTAGAGAAAAAGCATGCTTGTGTTTTGTTTGCATTGAAATCTACCAAGTTATTGGATCTCCATTCGGGAATTGTTGCCAAGTCCATATTTATGTTGTCAACATTTCTCCCTCGTTCGTATCTGATTCGCCTGGCTGGTATCGGAGCCCTGGAAGAGAAGGCGGTATGGAGGGTTCATTCATCCGCGAAGCTGTATACAGGACATGAATTTGCTTCCAACAAATCTTTGATATGAAATGGAAATAGTCTTGGTGATAAAATTGATTCTTGCGGAACAACAGCATTCATGGTAAGAGAATCAGATGAAATTTTGTCGACCACTACATGGAGAGACCTGTTTGAGAGAAAACTAGCCAACAGAGAACATAGCTGGGGAGGCACGTCATAAGATGGAAGCTTGGCGAGTAGTCCGTGGTGCCAGACTCGATCGAATTCTTTTGAGATATCAATTGTCACGGCTAAGGTTTCACCATATTCTTCGATAGATTGCCGCCATATATGTGAGACGTAAGCGAGTAGGTCACCAGTTGATCTCTGATGACAGAAGCCATATTGCCTATCGTTGATAATGACTGAATGTTCCAGGTATTTCATGAGCTCGATGTTGATAGCTTTCTCCATGATCTTTGAAATAATAGATTGCAGTGCGATCGGTCTGTAGTTGCAAGGTAGGGTCTTTTTGCCTTCTTTAGGAACTGGTTGTATTCTTGCAATTTTCCAGTTGGATGGCAATATCCCCAATTTGTAAGAGGCGTTGAACAACTTGCAGAAAACAGGTGTTGCTTCCGGAGCACATTTCTTGAGAACAATCGGTGGGATTCTGTCGGAGCCACAAGCTTTGTTGTTGTTGAGACCCAATAACATCTTGCATATAGTACGTTGGCAAAATGTGATTTCGGGCATATGACTGATATTTGGCGTTATGTTTGTAGGTTGTTTGCCCGATGAATTCAGAGTGGAATTTATAGCAGAAAAATGCGCAAAAATAATGGCTTTCACCTGGGCAGTTTTGACTAGTGCTCCATCTTCATTGGTTATAGGAGGAAACGAGCTGAAAGTGATGTTTTTTCCTACAGCTTTGGCAATGGACCAAAATGAACGAGATTCGTTAGGAACTTCAACAAGTTTTGATCTCATTTTAGCATTATGAGTATCCTATCATTATCGACTCTTCTCATTGCATATGCCTCTGGCCAGGGCCTGGATTTTTCTGCCATCGATGGAATTTTGCCTGTTTGGAAACGACAGCTCTAAAGCAGTTTCTACTGAACCAAGCCTTGTCGGAAGATGTCCTCCTTGCAGTGTTTGGTATGCAGGATTGCATCCCCAACATGATGGTTTCAGAAATCGTGTTGGATATGCTGGGGAGAAACAAACTCTCTTCCATGGTAACGCTGAAAAAAACATACGAAGACCTTCTCAGTCGGCCGAATTATAATGCCACATGAGACGGGTAAGAATTGTGGTGCTGGATAGTACATGGTAAGAGCAGGTTCTGGAGATGCAGGTGTGGTCAGAGTTTCCAAGTTAGGCACAAACTTCTATCCTATATGGATCAGGATTGCTGGTGAGAAAGAGATCTAGTACGTGTATTGGCAAAATGGTTGTTGACATCTGGAATGCGGATTGATAGTTCGACTAGTTTTTCTAGACCGTGAGTGATGGCGAAGGCCTCAGTTTGACGACCTACATCATCTGTGTATTTGTCAACACACTACTATTCATGTTAACATTAATTCAGAACCTATAAATCATCTTTTGGATGAACAACAAAAGCGTTTTTTTATCGTTTTGACCTTTTCTTGCCAGAGACTCTTCGAGAACTACGATTCGCCCTCTTCTTGAAGGGCGAATCGTTATATCTGAGGTTATATCTTCAGACTGCTCGAGGAGTTTGATCAACTCGATGTCACGGCGGTTGAACGCTGTAATAATTAAAGTCCGAGCTTAGTTAACCTACTATTCATCGACCTACATCCAGGTCTGCTTCTTGTTTGCTTTTCGTGATCAGTGTTTTTTCGAGGGGTCGACCAAGTCCAATCCCGATGTAATCCGTCTAATCTTGGTGGACGGAGTTTCGTCTGATACCATTTCCATCAATTCCGGCGTCCCACAAGGATCACTGTCGGCTCCAACATTGTTCCTACTTCATATCAATGATCTGTTGGTGGCTACCACTTGCCCTATCCACAGCTTTGCAGATGATATAACTTACCATACTGAGTACTCTTATAGAATTTCCATTCAGTTCCAGGAAACCAAGAACTCACAACGTCGGCAGGTCAACAATGTCAATGACGACAAATAACTGCCTATAGGGGAACAGAAACCTAGTTGAATTCAATGCCATCGAAACTGAAGTCTGTATTCTTTCTATCGGAAGGCGGAACTCAGCATGCCTGATATAACAAAGTCTGGTGAAACCATTCCCACCAAAAACACTATTTTCATGGTAGGTATCAGCAATACATTTTCATGGGAGAATCATGTTCGATCTATCACGAAAGCTGCTTCGCAGAAACTCGGATTTCTGACAAAGCAACAAAGCGCAGGTACAGCCAGTTTCAGAATAATGTTCTCACATATGGGGTTCAGCATCCAGACATAGGCTGATGCTCCTATAGATTCCATCCTGGAAAAAGCCATTCGCCTGGTGGGTGATGTCACACTCACGAAGTTTTTGACATCACTGGAACGCCGTAGAAATGTCGGCGACCTCTCACATTTCTATATGAGTACTTCTACGTTAAATAATCTCCAGAAATTTCTGCAAATATTCCATCACAAACAATACCAGTCAGACGGGTTTGACAATCCCAATCAGCACATCCCTTCGTCGTCAACCCTGAGATATGCCGAACAAATCTTTATCAATAATCGTTCGCCCAAATAGGACGGCAAAGATTCGAGGTTTTTCGCTAATGGAAATATTCGTGAGAAATTGTAATCTCCAGAAGAAGAAATAAATTCCTAATTCTACCTTCTTCCCCTATCGTTCTTGGATACGCACCATGTTCTCCAAACATCATAGGGTTTCCCTTCCATGCGCCACAAGAGATAACGAAATCAATA